GCTGTCACCTCCCTACCCTGGACAATAGGAGGCTGGCTGCCTGGAAGACCAGGGGCACCCTGACACCCACTTGTGTCCCAACCAAAGAAACTGCCCTGCCCATTCACTGGCACTGGCCTGGGTTGGCTCACCTGGGCACCAGGGATTGAAGAGGATGTAGATTTCGTTGCGGGGGTCAAAGGGCAACTGGAACTCTCCAGCTTCTGTGCGAGTACGGACAGTGAATTGAAATTTGCCGATGATGGCGCTGGGGGAGGTGTGGACCCGCAGGTTCAGAGACTGTCCACTGGACTTGGTCACTTGGGCCTTCCAGCCACCACTGCCCCCTCTGCCTACTGGGATGATCACGTGGGTGCCCTTGCCCACCTCAGGGTTGTTTCCTAGGGTGGGGAGAAAGCTGCAATTAGCTGATAAGGCTCCCTTAGGAGGAGGAAAAAGAGAGGACGGGGCCTTGGACTTCTGGCCCCACTCTGAATGCTGCTGACAAGCCAGTGTGTGTGTGGTGTGTGTCTCTGAGTCGGACGTTCACTTTAGCCTGTGACAATCTCCCCTCCCACCTTGGAGCAGCCCTGTATTCACCCAGTGCCCGCGTGTCAGGGCACAGCCCGAGTGCAACACCCCAAACCTGTTCCCCTGATCATGAACTCAGAGGTATAAGAGGAGAGAGCAAGGTCCTTGTCACCATCTGTCACCTGTCTGACTATCCCAGTGTCTGGACTGGGCAGGCACAGGGCAGCCCTGGTGGAGGTGGTGGGGGGTACCTGGGAAATTAGAGGCTGGGGCAGGGGCAAGGGTATGTCCTAATCAAAGGGTGAGAGGAGTCGCCCGCCCCCGGCAGCTGCATAATCACCAGGCTGGACAGTCAATGGCCACTAAACAACGCGGTGAGAGAGGCACCTGCCCTGGGCCATGGGGACAGCAAGACAGAAAAAGAGAGAACGGGGAGCCAGTCACACCCCAGGGAAGATAGCACCCATAGAAAGAGAGACACACAGAGAATTAGATGCCAAAGAGGAATGATGACAGTGATGCCAAAGTCCCTCCCTGGCAACCTTCCCACCTTCACATTTGTCTGCGGTGTCTGGCAGAGGGGAGAATGGGGCAGGGGATGAGCCTGGGGACCAGCCTGAGTCTAGGGGCTGGTCAGTCTCCCTCCAACCGACCTTCTTACGCCCAGCCCCACTGACCGATCTGCAGCTCCAGGGCGATCCGGTCGGAGGACTCATAGGAGCGGTTCAGGAAGAGGACTAGGTGGAATGGCTGTCCGCGGCGCACGATCAGTTCATCGTACTCAAACTCGTCGGTGTGGTGCTCTCGGCGGTTCTGGTCTGAGCGGTTGCTCAGCAAATCCACACCGGTCACCACCAGCATGCCCTCTGCAAGATCACATCTCTGAGTCAGTGGTCCTAGCTGGATCCCGCCCCTCGCCCCCCCTGCTACTCGCCTGCCCCCTCCAGGGTCGTTCAGCCCTCATCAGCCAAGGGTGGACTAGCTGGCCTCACCTCGGATGGTGCCATCTCCGGCTGCGTTCACACCGCCACCCCGCGAATCGGGTCTTCCGCCCCGAGAGCTGGACCCTCGACCTCTGGAGTCAGAGGGCTCGCGGCCCCAGTCATCATCTGTTGAATTCCGGCAGGAGCAGCAGCCACAGCAGCGAGCCCAGAAAGAGCGGCCTCCTCCTCCCCCTCTTCCCCGGGACCGTCTGTCTAGCTCTGGCTCAGGCTCCGGCTCTGGAGAAGGTGTGGCCGAGGGCTGCAGGGGGCCTCCGCGCCAGCGGCCCATGTCCGAGCGGCCCATGTCCGAGCGGCCCATGTCCGAGCGGGAACCATCCATCCTGCCTGCCAAGGAGAGGCCGGAGGGAGGGAAATGTGGAGGAAGGGGAGAAGGCAACTCATCACCTGCTCAGACCTCCTTCACCCAGGACACCCCAGCCAGTACCAGTCCCTCAGAAGCCCTCCATACATGGTGCTAATTCGGGCCCAGCCAGGTGACCCAGACAATCTGACCTTGACCCAGACTTTCCCACCCAGAGAAAGCTGCTCACGCTGCGGAGAACAGTCCTGCACCCTCCTCTGCCTCCTAGATCCAGACACCTAACCAAGAAACCCATTCAAGGACCCAAGTTTGGCACATGGTTCCCGGCATGCACAGACTACTCAGACTGGAGTGTGGGCGCAGCAGCCCTGGCCATGGTCCCTGCACCTGTCAGCTGGCTCCAGTCTAGATAATCGGGATGCTGACAATCTCTGGCACCCGTTGTTTAACAGACACCACCCCTCCCCATCCCTTTCCCCCCAGCAAGGCTCTCCAAAGGTACAGGCACTGTGGGAGGTCTGGGGTCCACTGCTTTCACAGGGCAAACCCCACACAGGGCTGCTGGGAGGGAGGGGTGTGTCCCGGCAGTGCTGGGTTCCAGGTACCACCGAGTCTCAGACAGGTACTGGCTGGCCCGCAATTCACCTCTGTGGGGCCCTCAGTCAGCTTGAAGAGAAGGGATGGTCTCAATATGCTGGAGCCCCTCACCTGGCAATGGTGCTGGTGTCCGCAGTGCTGAGTCCCAGCCCGGCCAATGAGGTCGGGACTGAGGGAGTGGGCAGGACGCTGCCGTAGAAGTGGAAGGTGTGGGGCGGAACCAGGAGGTAGTTTATGAGGGATGAGGAGGGCGGGGCCAAATAGCTGAAAAGAAGGGGAAGAAGCTTGGTTGCTCCATTCCCCCGAGGGGGGTGGAGGTGGGGGGAAGTACCTGGGTTCAGGGGGTTGTCTCGGGAGGTAGGGGAAGGAAATGGTGAGTCCCACACCCATCCCCTTTCCAGGAAGGAGGGTGAGGGTGAGGTACCAGGGTCTGTTCAGGCTGGAAATGGGAAAATGGTAGATTCCGGAGAATCCCAGCCCTGCAGGGCACCACCCCCGCGCCCCCCCCCTCCGCTGCATGTGTAGGGAACCATGGGGCAGGGAGCCCTCTGCCCTCAGACCTGCCCCATATTTCCTATTCCCATGTTCAGACTGCCTACCTCTGCTGTCACGTCCCCTGTCGCCACGATGGGCTGGCTCCCCTCCAGCCAGGGCCAGGTGCAGTCCCCCCGGGGAACCTGGCCCTGGAACTCATGGAACTCATCCTGCCCAGGGAGGTCCCATATCCCAGCTGCTGGCTGGTGACATCAGCAACAGGCCCTCAGACTGGCTCCACCGGCCAGCTCTTGACCTGCCGGCTCTACCAGATCTTCTGACACCCTCCCCATCTGTCCTTCTTTCTTCCAGCTGCTCCATCCACAGTCCCTCCTCAGCACAAAAGCACCCCTAAGCCTCACATGGCTCCCAAGTTTAGAACTGGGGTATGGGGTGGGCAGGGTACAGGTCATCTTACTCCTTGCCCCCAGGCCTGCAGGCTCCTCCAGTCTCTGTACTTGGGGAGGGGGGAGGGAGAAGGAGGCACCTCCCCAGCTTGCAGAATAAGTACTCCCATCTCTTGATCTCTCAGAAGTCAGGGGTCTGCTCAGCTGGAGTCTGGCATCCCATCCCTTCTCCAGCCTGGAATTCCTCTTGGGAATCCAGACCAACCAGCTACACACACCTGCCCTGCATGCCTCCCAGTTCCACCCCCGAGTCTGGCAGAGACACTAGTGAAGGCACTGAGATAACCCCAAGGCAAAGAGAAAGATGGGCACATGTAGGGAGGCGCGCCCTGAGCCCAGCACCCAGAGACCTTTCCTCTCTATCCATTGGTGTCCCAGATCTCCCCAGGGGCTGTGACGCAGAATGCAAGTGGAAATGATCTGACAGAAGACCCTGGGGAGGGGCTGTTCAGAGATGTGGCAGGCAGTGAGGTGCCATTGAGTGAAGATAGGCTCTAGGACTGATCCAGGCATGAAGGGGTGTGGGGGGCTCTCCACACCCATGCTTTCTCCCATCTAGCTCCATGCCTCAAGACCTGGCAGGGGGCCTGCCCCACCTCATGCCTCAAGGCTTGGCAGGAGGCCTGCCAAACCTCTAGCACACTCTGTAGCCGCCCCAGTATCAATCACACTTCCAGGCAGGTGTGAGGCAGGGCAGCCAGCGGGCTCTGCTGCTGGGCTAGGTGTTTTGCGCATCGTTTTGGTGACGGGACAGGGCGGGGCCTTGTTGCTGCAGGATGTGTGGGAGCCTGTGTGGTCTGAGGTAAGATCCCAGAGAACCAGAAAAATGCCTTTGTCACACTCTCTCCTTGTTTCAGCTTTTCTTTTTCCCCACCCAGCCAGGTTTGACTCAGTACCCTAAGCCCTGCGCCACTCCCCTTTCCTCTCCCCCTTTTCTGGGAGGTCGGGCAGTGCCTCAGGGCTGGCAGGAGAAGGTGCGTGTGAGGGATAGGGGAGGGTGGAGGCAAACACCCAACTCAGCATCTCTGCCAGTTGAAGCCAGGCCCCTCTGCTCAGCTGTTTCATATCAAAATGGAAACAAGAACAGGAGGTTCAGAACACTGCTGAGGTGAGGCAAAGGGACAACTTTGTCTCCAGACTCGGGGTGGGTCTTAAGCAGCGCAAATGGGCCTGATCGGCTCAGCCCTTGTGGCTGGGGAGGATCAAATGGGTTCAAGTGTTTCCAAAGGGCTCAACTGCAGAATGCCATTCATGGGAACTGACGCTGCTCTCCAAGAGGGTGGGGCTGGGGAACACTGAGCAGACAGCCCAGCCTTCTCGGAAGTGGTCAGCCAGCACCAGGACCCAGAGGCACCTCTAAAGGGGGCAGGGCTCGGTGGGGAGGAACCTTTGGGAGTCCCTGCAGCAGGAGAAACTCCTAACCCAAACTGATTGTAATCTCCACCTCAGTTGAGCCAGAAGGTCATCCCAAGTCCAGCCCTAGTCTTGATTTCTGCTCCAAAACCTGGTTCTCCAAGATGGGGAATAGCAGGATACAGGAGCATTACAAGCAAGCAGAGATGGGGAGCTGACCGACACATGCTAGGCCTTTCCCTGGCCCTGTTGAAATATGCGACATTAGTGACAGAGGCTGCAATGCCGAGTGGAGCTGGTGAGAGCAGAGCGGCAGACTGCTGTGCTTCTCTGTTCTTTTATTCAGTCCTAATAAGTTAAAGGGCAGGGCTTCCTAGGTGAGGATGCTGCTGACCGCAGGCAGCTGTTCAGCCAACTGTTCCACGATGCCCGCTTCCTGGCACAGTGGGTTGCCTTGCAGGTCAAGAAGAGCCAGCTTGGGGCAAGAGGCAAGCGGTTGGAGTGCTGCAGGCTGCTGGAGGCCTTGGGCAGGAAAGTCAAGGAAAGCTCAATGGTTCCCCCAAATTCACATGCACCTGCTCCCACCAGACCCTAAGAGCTGGGCATTGTTTCCTGGAAGCCCGGTGAATGGGCATCTTGCAGGCTTTACTGGGGGCTAAAGGGGGTGAGGCTCTAAGTGAGCACTGCAAACATCTGCCTGCAGGGGCCAGGCAAGAGGCTGGGTGTGGGAGCAGGGGTGGCAAAGGCTGCTGTGGAGTAGAAACCCAGCTATGCACAGAATTGCCCACTGCTCAGCAGTGACCAAGGGCGCTGAAGAGACAACAGGCCAGAGGCGACTCCGGGTCTAAGTCTCTAGAAGAGAATTCAGCATTCTAGCCTCTTACAGGTGACAAGACTTGCTGAATTTACAGCGCGTGACCAGTAGGTAACACACACATGCAGGTTGCCTAAGGGTGAACTCTGGCCTGTAGAACCAACTCTCTAGACACCAACTTCACGGTGGTGGCCAGCCAGGGATGGTCTCATGGCTATCAACTCCCCCAGGGCTGGCTCTGTCAGAGCCCCTCTTCCTGCTCCTGCTGTCTGCCCCTCCAACGGAGAGGCCCAATGGAGAGGCCCAACGCAGAGGAAGGATACGGTTGTTACACAGTAACAGCTCATGCAGCCGGGGCAGGTTGGTGATGCCATCCAGGGACTCAATGGCATTATCATTGGCCTGCAGCACCTGAGGGTGGGGAAGCAGCTTGTGGCCATGGAGGAGCCCAGGGTGATTAACTTATGGGACATGGGGTCAGGTGGTTGGAAGCAGTGAAGGCAAGTGGCCACCTGTGGGTGGCTGGCTGGGAGGTTCTGTACATCTCTTTGTAGTGTGGGCAGACTCATGAGGCGAGCAGTGGGAAAGGAAGGGGACCACCTGGGATGGCAAGGGAGAAAGGAGCGCTTTACCTCCAGACAGCGCAGGGCAGCTAGGGCAGGGGGCAGGCATCGCAGACGATTGTGTGAGAGGTCCAGGTGGGTGACCAAGAGCAGCTGTTCCAGATGGCAGAGCACTGTCAGGTCCTGGGGGTTAGGGAGCAGACCCAGTGAGAGTTGCAGGAAGGGCTTGGTCAGCAGTTAGTAGGCCTTTGTGGTCCTAGGGGAGCCTGGCAGAGCATGGGAAGCTGACCTTACAGCTCACAGTACAAGCGACAGGTCAAGACGTGAGAGGAACAGGGAGTACTGGGCATGGAGTGGCCAGGGGAAGGCAGCCTGGGCAGGAGCAGGTGCAGAGGACAGTGAAGGGTGCTTGGGTGGGCAAAGACACTGGTGGGAGCAGCCTGGTGAAGACGAGTGTGTAGCAGGGTTGGGGGAGGGGCTTGGTGGGAGAACATGTGGGCTGCAAGGACACAGCAAGTCCAACATGCTTAGAACACAGATCAAGAAGAGTGGATCCCTGGAAAACAACTGGGTGAGGGTGAAGAGCATGGGGAATGAGCCACAATTCCAAGGGGCATGGACACTCCTGGAAGGAAGGATGAACATGTGAGCTGGTAGGAGGGCGGAAGGAAGGGGTCTGGTGATGCAGAACACCACACAGGATGAGAAGACAGGTGGGTAGAGGGTCAGACAGCATGGCCTGGAGGAGTGGGCTTGGGAGGAAGACGATGGAGTCCATCTTGGCAGGAAGGCAACGTCCGAGAAGGCAGCAGAGACTAACAGGACTGGGGCTGTATGAGGGGTGCAACCAGGGTGCCACTCAGGGGAAAGGGCCTGCAATAGGCCATACCTTGTGACCCAGATGCAGCACACGTACATCTGCGTACTCCATCTTGAGTACGCTGTTCTCCACCAAGAACTTGCTGCGCAGATCATCTAGGTATGCTGCCCGCATCGGGTCCACCGCCTGGTGGGGCATGGAGGACAGGAACCTGCGTCAGCCACCTTCGTCCTCCAGGGCTCCCCTTCAAGCCCCACCCCATGGCAGGCTTCTGCAGGCCCTGCTTGCCTGCAGCGTCTGGAAGTACTGCAGCGTCTCCTTCTCATACAGCAGGGGGTCCAGTGCCCGCATCAGCAGGATGATGGTGAGTAGGCACCCTGGAGAGAGGCGGCCACCACAGGGCTCCCTCCTGGATCCTTCTCAAAGCCCTGCCCGCTTGTCCCAAGGGGCTGCCCTAGGGAGGGGCCTCCCACCAGGGTTCCAGGGAGCAGGTGTTCAGGGTGTGGGCCTCACATTTATTCTCTGGCTCCAGCTCCTGTAGCTCCTTGCAGGACTTGAGCTCAGACTGTAGCACTGTGGACTTCTCCACTGACAGCTCGCACCTATAAGTGAGAAGGGTGGGAATAGGATGACACCCACAGCCCTGTGGTGCTACTGGTAAACCCCAGTGGCTGCTCTGAGACCATCTCCCTAAAGCCCAAGCTGCTGGCCCAGTTGCCCAAGGCCCAGCATCCACAGCCACTCTCCCGGGACATCACCTGAACAGCTGCTCGTCTGTGGCCGAATCCCGGCACCAGGCTTCCTGACGACCTGCAGGGAAAGCATGTATAGAGGAGATGTCACAAGAACAGGACTGGGACTACAAGGGGAGGAGGGGCCACAGCAAGGGGTTGGAGTATAGGATGTATCACCTTTTAACAGCACACACTCCTTGTGAGTCCCGCCTGCTGTCCAGATGACACGGAACGTATGCTGGGGCAGCTGGTCGTTGAGCGAGCCAGTGGGCAGATCACAGAGCTAGGAGCACTGGGTCAAGGAAATGCCCCGGGCTTCATGTCCCACCCTAACCCTGCTTCCTCAACACACCATGCCTCTGGGATACCCAGACGTGACTGGGCTGGCTCCTGCCGTGGGGAGTCCTCCACTCCACCATTAGAGGTGACTCGTCAGCCATGAGAAGCAAGGTGTCTGTCCCAGGACCCACCTGAGACAGAGAGACACCTGTCAGCCCTGACAGCACTAAGCCCATAATCCCCCGGAACTCTCCAACAGGAGCTGCACTGGTACTCACCACGAGGGGCCGGGAGAAGGAGACAGTCAGACAGGCCTCATCCCGGCTCACATGCAGGCAGTGCAGTGCATCCTGGGGATCAGCTAGCCAGGGTGGGTGGGGAAGACACAACCTCAGGTCTCCTGAAATCCTCCTCCACTCCTGTCAAGCCCCTCAGTGTCCAGCCTCTTCCCCAACAACTCACCTCGGCCCAGGAGCCAGCGGTGATAGAACCAGGCGCTCTGATCATTGGGATCCGTGAAGAAGGCGTTCTGCACCAGCTCCAGCTCTGTGGGGTTGCAGAGGAGTGGTCGGAAGGCTGAGGGCACTCTGGCTGCCCCCATGGCCCACCTTCCCCTGCCAGTACATCCAATCCTCAGTTTTTTTTTTTTTAAGATTTATTTATTTTTATTGCAAAGTCAGATATCTATGGAGAGGAGAGACAGAGAAAAAGATCTTCCATCTGATGATTCACTCCCCAAGTGACCACAATGGCTGGTACTGCGCTGATCCGAAGCCAGGAGCCAGGAGCCAGGAGCTCCTCCGGATCTCCCACGTGGGTGCAGGGTCCCAAGGCTTTGGGCCGTCCTCGACTGCTTTCCCAGGCCACAGGCAGGGAGCTGGATGGGAAGCGGGGCTCCCGGGATTAGAATCAGTGCCCATATGAGATCCCGGGCATGCAAAGTGAGGACTTTAACCACTATGCTATCGTGCTGGGCTCAGCCCTCAGTCATACTTATACTCTAGCCTTGCACATGGGCTCAGGTATCTGTTCTCTCTTCCTGTCCCACTGCATACTTGAGTTCCTTGCTCAGTCATGCATTCATGCTCTCCTCCCCCAGAGCCCAGTACGGGGCTGGGAGGGAGGGTGCTACAGCGTCCCCCATTCTGCTTACCCTTGAGCAGCACCTCCTCAGGGAGGCGACCCTGGGGCCCAGAGTCTGGCTGGGGGTGTAACCGGGGCAAGAGACGGGAGCGATAATGCCAGGAAGAGTAGTTAGAGAAGTTCCGGGTGATGAGGCTGTCGGTGAAGGCCAGCTCCTCCGCCGGGGGCACAGCTGCCTGTGCAGCCACGAACCGCCGATAGTCCCAGCAGTGAACTGGGGGGGAAATGGGGTAGGGGACCATCTCAGCAGCAAGACAGGAGGGCTCCTTGAAAGACCTCCCCAGAATCTGCTCCATAGATATGCCCTTGGCTCCTCCATCTCTTTTGGCACCAGCACTGTGGCCCCATCCTGGACATTTCTCTCAGTTCTTCCTTACTGAGATCCCGGCACTAGGATAGGGGGCCGGAACCTGTAGGCACGTACAGTTGCGCTCATCGACCTCGAGGAAGCGGGCACACAGCTCCAGTTCGCGGGCCCAGTCAGGCTCTGGCAGGCGGCTCAGCAGCCAGCAGCGGTGATGCCAGGTGCCATAGGACTTGGGGTTCACCCGCAGGCAGCTTTCCAGGAAGCCCAGCTCTGCCTTCACCAGGGTGGCCAGCTCCTCCGGGGACCTGTGCTCAGATGGGGAGGGAAGGTCAGGGCCCTTCTCCACGCTGTCCCGTCCATGCCCCTGGCTGTAGGTGGGGAGGGAGGCCTGGGAAGACTTGCTGAGATCCCTGAATGCCTACGCACTTCTGGGTCTCCAGCCGCTGAAGCACCTCTCGGCGACAGTTCCAGAGGGTGGCAAAATCAGGGTTGGCTCCCAGAATCTGGCTTGTCAGTTCCAGCACTGACTCGTCCAGCTCGCCAGCCTGGCGCTAAGAAGACAGTCAGCAGGGTCAGATATCCTACCAGCTCCCACCACCACCACTGGGCAACCCAAGTTGAGAAGGACCCAGGACTCCACAAACCCCACACCATAAAACAGGGTCTGCATAAAGCACTTTCTGCATAGTCTCTCATGTAATAATCTTCCTGACAGCTATATGCAATTGTTACAGCTGTTTGGTCCCACTGCACACAGAAGCAAGCTGAGACCCCAAGAAGAGCAGGAACTAGCCCAAGTACACACAGCTTGTATGATCTGCATCCAGTCTACCTGACTCCAGGGCCCAGCTCTGCTCCTCTGGTTTTCTGTGCTCCACTGGGGTATGGGGGCTGGGGAAAAGGGGCACAGCGACACTTGAGGCAAAGGCTATCTTTGAGGACCCCACCTTCTGAAAGACCGCCTGGGTGGCTGACTGATATAGCTTCAGCTTCTGCTCCCGTTCTACCCTTTTGGCCTCTGCCTGCTCTTCGGAGGTCTTGACCTTCAGGCGCCCATGCTATGGACAGAAAGAGGAGGGTGGGAAGAGGGCCGGGGGCTTTGCAGGGGTATACCCGAATTGCTAGCTGCAAAGCCCCAGGGTGGGTGGCATGCAGCCACTAAGGCAAGAGCAGGCAGGGCGAGGGTGTGAGCATGCAGAGGTGACAAGATGCGCCAGGGCTCTCACCATGGTGCTGGCTCAGTGTCCAGGACAGGGGAGGGGTCCAGTGGTAGAACGTCAAGTCTGAGGAGAGAGATGTCAATCACGGAGCTCCGCCCCCCACTAGCTCCGCCCCAGCTGTTCCCCGGAAGCTGCACGCGGACCAGGGTGGAAACCCCCTGCCCCCAACACACACGCACCCCGGGAGTGTAAAAGGGACCTGGGACCAGCACTGCTCGCCCGAAGGAAGGCGCAGCCCCCGGACTGGGACTTTGACCTGCACGGCGCTTCCTATAGCCCGATCCCGCAGGAACTGGCACCCAAGCCAGGGAACCAGGGCGATCAGGGCCACTCTGTCCCCAGGAGGCAGCCGCTGCCCACCCGCCCCACGGCTCCCGGGCACCCCCCCGCCCCGCGGGTGGACCCACCTGCGCTGGGAGGAGGCGCGGGGGAACCGGAGCTGCGGCGCCCACCACCGAGCGCGGGCGCTGGCTAGAGCGGCGCCACGCCCCGGCTTCCCTGCGACGCAGCGCCCCCTGCAGGCCCGGGGAGGGGCGGCGGCGGAGGGCGGCTCGCGGGCGCGTGCGCGCCGTGCGGAGCCGCCGCGTCCCTGGGGGCATCGGCGTGGGAGAGCGTGCTGAGCGTGTGTACCCTACGTGCGTGTGACCTGAGCTGGCGGCGGCGCCTGTGCAACTTAAGTTGGCAGCTTCAGCCGTCCACTAGGTGGACCCTGCAACGGCCTGGAACTCAAACCTTCCCTGTTGCGGTCACCAAATTCTGGCCCTCTGACCTCATACTGGTCAAGTCTTTCCTGCTGGTCATTTCCTGTCCTTAAGTTCTGCGACGTTTGCTGCATTTGACGCCACTGCCTGCTTTGTACTGGAACCCCTTTTCTTGCGCTTTTTTTTTTTAAAGTTACTTATATATTTTAAAAGAATTACAGGGATGGGGGCAGAATCTTCTATCTGCTGGTTCACTCCCCAGGTGGCTTGCAGTAGCCAACACTGGACCTGACCAAAGTCAGGAGCTTCATGCAGATCTCCCATGTGGGTAGCAGGGACCCAAACAACCAGTCCATCTTCCAGTGCTTTCCCAGGTGCATTGGTGGGGAGCTGGATGGGAAGTGGAGCTACTGGGACACCATGTGGGATGCGGGTATTAGGCAGCTGCTGTGCCCACTTTCTAGCAGAGCTGACTGTCCTGCACCTTTGCTTCTCCTCTGTTTACCTTCTCCATGTTGGAGACTTCCCAGTCCCATCCCTCAGCCCTGTTTATGGGACACGCTTCCTGGGTGAACACGAATGCATCCAAACTGATCCTTGTCCCCCAGGTCTCTGACCCCACACTTTCTCTGGGTGACCTCATTCACGCTCACATGTTTAATTGCTGCTGTAAACTGATGACACCCACATGCTTGTCTCCAGACCAGATGGCTCACATGCTTTACTAAAACGAACCCATTTGTCTGCATACGTTCAGAAACCTGGGCGTCCCACAGGCAGCTCCGATTCCAAAGGTCAGAACTTTTCGCAGTGTCCCATCTGGGCTGTGCAAACCTCAACTTCAGGGGTCCCATGATAGGAATGATGTCAGGCTCACCCTGCTTTTGTTTTGTTTCTGGTTGAGAGGCAGACAGCACACTCATCTGATGGTTCACTCTCCAAATGCCAGACAGGGTGTAGGAGTCAGTCTAGGTCTCCCCAGCTACTTGAACCATCACCTGTTGCCTCCCAGGACACACATTAGCAGGAAGCTGGCTGTGGGACTGTGTCTTAACTGCTAGATCCAGTGTCCACCCCTACCCTATTTCTTTTTCTCCTCCCCCCCCATTTTTTTCTTAAGATTTTTTATTTATCTGAAAGGTGAAGATACAGAAACAGAAGGTGAAAGTGGGAGAGAGATTAAGAGGATCTTCAATCTGCTGGTTCTATCCCCCAAATGGCTGCAGTGGCTGAGACTGGGGCAGGCAGAAGCTAAGGGACAAGAAGCTTTTTCGAGGCCTCTCATGTGCGTGCAGGAACCACCTCCCATTGCTTCCTGAAGTGCACGAGTGGGGGTGGGGGCTGGATCAGAAGTGGGGCAACCAGGATTTGAACTGGCACCCATATGAGATACCAAGGTGTTGGAGGCAGCAGCCATCATGCCATAATGTTTGCTGATATCCTTCCTACCCCCAAATCCGCTTCTTAATCTCTCCAAATATTCCGTCCATTCCCACTGCCACCACACATTAAGCTCCTGATTTCTTCCCCAGATATTCAAAGCCTTGTGGGCATGTTCCATCTCAACCTTGTTCCCAGTTTAACAATTCCTCCTCTGTGTTGCTGGATCCGTCTTTCTTTCTTGCTTTCTGTTTGTTTTTATTGCAAAGTCAGATATATATATAGAGAAGAGACTGTCCACTGATTCACTCCCCAAGTGACCACAACAGCCAGTGCTGCGCTAATCTGAAGCCAGGAGCCAGGAACTTCCTCCAGGTTTCCCACACAGGTGCAGAATCCCAAGGCTTTGGACTGTCCTCAACTGCTTTCCCAGGCCACAAGCAGGGAGCTGGATGGGAAGCAGGGCTGCTGGGGTTAGAACCAGCATCCATATGGGATCCTGGGGAGTGTAACGCGAGGACTTTAGCTACTAGGCCACCATGCCAGGCCCTGGATCAGCCTTTCTAAATGTCGACTCAGTGTTCAACGTGTACCTGACAGTGTTGTGTGGCTCCTGATGGCTCTCCTCAGCAGAGCTTGACCCTCTCAGCTTAGCACAACAAACCCTGCCCCTTTGTGGCTCTTTGTCCTGTCTGGTCTCATTGGAAAAACAAGTCTTCGCTGTAGCCTCAAGAATGTTCAGCCCCCAGCATGTTAACCTGCTCTGTTGTCTGGAGTTGCCTTCCTCCTGCCCCTCTTCTGCTGGGGAGTTCTGGTTCACTTTCAGTTTTAATTCCAGGAGCAGGCTTTGCGCAACAGCAGGTCAAGTTGCTAGTTGGGGCGCCCACATCCCATACTGCAGTTCTCGTTTGAGTCTCAGCTCCTCTCAGCCCAGCCCAGCCTCCCTGCTAAGCTTCCAGGAAACAGTGGATGGTGGCTCAAGTACATGCATTCCTGCCACCTTCGTGGGACATCAGAGTGCCTTGGCCTAAGCTCTGGCTGCTGTGACCACCTGGGAAGTGAGCCAGTGGATGAAAGATTTCTCTGTGTGTGTATCTCTCTTAAAAAAAAAAAAAGATTTATTTATTGGAAAGTCAGATATACAGAGAGGAGACAACCAGGAATTCCATCCAATGTTTCACTCCCCAAGTGACTGCAACAGCCAGAGTTCAGCTGGTCTGAAGTCAGGAGCCAGGAGCCTCTTCCATGTCTCCCTCACAGGTACAGGGTCCCAAGGCTTTGGGCCATCCTTGACTACTTTCCTAGGCCACAAGCAGGAAGCTGGATGGGAAGCAGTGCTGTCAGGATATAAACTGGCTCCCATGTGGGATCCCAACTCATGCAAGACAAGGACTCTAGCTACTATGCAACCATGCAGAGCCCTCAAATATATAAATCTTAAAAAAAGTTTTCACTTCAGTGTCACCTCCAGGAAGTCCTCCAAGATGCCCCAGTCCAATTTGATAAGCTTTTTTATGTTTGCTGTCAAAGATGCTGCCTTTTTTTTTTAAAAAAGATTTATCTATTTTTATTGCAAATTCAGATATATAGAGAGGAGAAGAGACAGAGAGGAAGGTCTTCTGTCCAATGATTCACCTCCCAAGTGACCACAAAGGCGGGTGCTGCGCCGATCCGAAGCCAGGAGCCAGGAACTTCCTCCAGGTCTCCCACGTGGGTGCAGGGTCCCAAGGCTTTGGGACATCCTCAACTGCTTTCCCAGGCCACAAGCAGGAAGCTGGCTGTGAAGTGGAGCTGCCAGGATTAGAACTGGCACCCATATGGGATCCTGGTACATTCAAGGCGAGGACTTTAGCCTTGAGACCACTGTGCCAGGCCCAAAGATGCTGCTTTTTGAGTTGTGTCTACCTTAAATCTTAGTTTGCTTCCTGCTTCTCATGTCAGATTGAAAGTTCCTGGAAGATAGAACTCATATTCTGAAAAATAATAATAATAAAAAAAAGAAAATCTTGCCTCTAGGATATGTGATCCTGGTCTTTAGCAGATAGTTTGAACAAATGAATAAAATAGTAGATAGCAAGGGCTGATTTGGCTGGGCCTCATGGTGAGTGCTGTTGGCATTTGCGGATGGGCCAGCTTAGAAAGGTGTCTTGGGGAGGGAATGTTCATGGGGTCCAGGGTGAGCAGTGTGTGTCGGGGGGCATGAATCCATGTGGCATGTGTACGCTTATAATTCACATTAGGTAAGGGAATTTAGCTTTAATTATTCTATTTCCTCTGCCTGTCCCTTAGGCCCCAGAAATGTGAGGAAAATGCCCACCCAATACTGTGTTTTCCTAGGTCCTGTTGTGAGTTACAGAGGAAAACAGACACCTTCCTGGCCTGGTAAGAAAAGTGCCATTACATTCAGGTTGTCTTTGCATCAGGCACTGTGATGGGAGCTTTGTGTAGATAAGGCCCAGGTACAGACACATCCACGTGTGGGTGACAGTGACAGACTGGTTAAGAACATGGACACGGGAGCCTCCTGCTTGGGCTCAAATCCTGACTTAGCTGCTTACTAGCAGTGTGATCTGGGGCAACTTACTTGATTTCTGTGTTGGATTTCCTCAGATTTGTGAACTGCTAGGGTTAAAGACTAAATAAAAGAATCTTTATAGGGGCTGGCATCATGGCATGGTTTGTAAGACTGCTGCCTACAACACGGGTGTCCCATATAAACACTAGTTCGAGTCCTGCTGCTCCACTTCCATTCCACCTCCCTGCTGGGGTACCTGGATAGGCAGTGGAAACTGGCTGAAGCTTGGGCCCCTGCATCCATGTGGAAGCTTCTAGCCCCTGACTTCAGACTGCCCCAGCTGCAGCTATTTGCAGCCGTTTGGCTAGTGGATGGAAGATCTCTCTCTGTAACCTTGTCTTTCAAATAAAATAAACCTTCAAAAAGGTCTATGTAAGGGAGACTTACAGAGAGAAGGAGAGACAGATGGTTGCAACAGACAGGCTGAACTGAGCTGAATCCAGGAGCCTGGAGTCTCCTACGTGACCACAGGGTACCAAGGACTTTGGCCATCTTTCTCAGGCCAGAAGCAGGGAACTGAATGGGAAACGGAGCAACTGGGACATGAACTAGTGCTCATTTGGGATGCTGATGCTTGCAGGTAGAGGATTAGCCTGGGAGCCACCATGCCACACACCCCCAATATCTTTTATAACTGTGTTTTTCTATCCAATGAAGGGTCATGCAGTGCGTTTATTGTTCTTTCTCCTTAGAATATTTTAATCTGTCTTTT